AAGGTATCACGATGGCTGGAGGTTGGTGCGTAGGACATCATTGAATGCCAGAGTCATAGGTTAAAGAGCGTTAGAGGTGGATTTTTTCATGAAAAGGCAGCCTATTGAATCCAAGTTAGAGATGGTCAGTGATGCACGAAAGAAGAAAAACCAAGAAAAACGGCCTAGAACCCGAGAAATGGGACCCCTTCCTTGCCCGTTGATTTCCGCATTGGCGACTCTCATCGGTGCTGCCCTCTTCAACGCTAACTCTCTCTCTGCTGAAAGGCTAGAGAGTAAGAGAGACGACGCGAGAGGAGCAGGGGGCGTACCGCTCCAATAGCGTTCCAACTATCGAGGAAGGCCACACTAGATAGCTCGTAGGGGGCATATCTTCTGCTAATGTTTCTATCGTGTCGGTCCGCATTCTTAGGAGGTTCGCCTGTTTCGCCGCTAGGTAAGTTTTCCCTTGTTCGACCTTCGCCTTTACCATGAAATCCTCTTTTAGTACCTCAGCCCGAGAAGAGCCAATAGAAGCAAAATCCAATATTGACATCACTAGCTCGGCTCTAGAGGAAGTGTGCCAACCATTCTATTGCTGGTTCAGTTCAGTCTTCAGCGGGAAAACGATGAGTGAATAACACGTGAAGCTGTGCAGCTCTTGGAGTACCACTTATGGTGCTCCAAAAATTTATTTTCTTTCAGCCATCATGAATAGGTAATCGGGTAGCCTTGTGATCTCTGAGCGGGAGCTGTGGGTTTGTTTACAGTTTAATCCGCCCAGCAGTAATTGTAAACTGAAGGAAGCAATGTTTCAAAATGTCAAGGAACCATGCTCAGCACAAAGCTACTTTGGCCACTACCACCTGAAGCACTGCTGAGAAGGCAACTACCCTTCTTTCTGTGTGATTTGATGCTCTACAAGCTCAAATATTAGAGATTTATTAAACTGATATATAATACATATTAAATAGCTGCTCAATAATAATATTAATTCCAATGTGTCTATGAGTACATTTCGGTGACCAGCTGAAACACTGGCTGCGGCCATTCAGTGGGAGTATTTGGGTCCGGCTTGAAGAACGGAAACTCGCTCAGCTCCTTTGAGTCTTCTGGTTGTGTAGGAATCATCGGTTGGGCTGGTTGTTCAGGCAAAGCGGGCTGCCCTCGCTCGACCGGCTTCTCGCACGGCTCCGATGAGCGCGTTTCCCTTCGAGACCTCAGCATGCTGCACAGTCCTTCAGTCTTGTCACGGGCACAACCCGGCTTTGCTCCTTGAAGAGGCTGCCGCCCTAGGCACAGAACGAGCGGCTCCCTGAAATTGCACAAGCAATTTTTCCTCTGAAATTGAAGCGATTTAATCTCTTGTTTCACAAAGTTCAATGAGCTCTCCTACCTTTGTTCTCTCTCGATTTTGTCGGCAAGCTTGATCTTCAAGTTTTGGATTGATCGGCGTTTGCGTCCTCCACCTCCGCATCCGCAGCATCCACAGCCACCGCAGCATCCGCAGCCGCCGCCACCTAGTCAAGGTATAGTTAGAGGGCTTTTATAATTGCTGGCGACATTAGTCTACCTCCTCCGCAGCAGCAGCATGGTCGACAACAGCAGCACGGCCGGCAGCATGTGCAGCACCTTGTGCAGCAACAGGTACGACAGCATGTACAGCAGCAGCTGAAATAAATAAGGGATGAGTGGGGGTCAAGCGGGTGAATCTTTATTAATCAGCAATGGCCTACCGTGGTCGGCAACAGCAGCAGCCACATCCGCATCCACAGCCACCACCTTGTCTTTTCACTCGGAGGGAGGATTCCGATTCGGTCAGCGTGTCAATTGCGGTGGTGTTTACGGAGGCGAGTTCTGTCGTAGAGGACAGGGAGATGTCGGCGTCATTTCCAGGTATGGGAAGTGCCTGAAGGGGTAATGGTGGCTGAGTAACAAAGCAATGATCGCATTCGATGGCATAAATGGCAGACACACGAACGGTGGATTGACCACTGCAAGAGGATTTACCTGAAGCTGCATGAGGTACAGTACCCCAACGAAAAAGCAAAGAAGAGCCGATTTTGCTGAGAAAGCCATTGGAAGTGCTGTTGCAGTCGAACTGATGTGGTTTCATGGAAATCGCCGATTATTTATACGAAATAGCCACATATCGGCGTCGTCTCGTTAGGCCTGCTATCTCGCGCATCCAGACCGGACTCCATGCCGTTGCTGTGTTTGGCCCCATGTCATCTGCGCGCGCTTACGCCGCCGTCATCGGCTACTCTGCTCGAAACACCGGAAACGTCAACTGTCCACCAAAAATCATCAGACAAACAGATTTCGAGATCCGGTGTGCTTCCTGGATATCATTGCCGTCCTCCATCACTACGATGGTCAGATTTCTGGCCGGCATGAGGCAACTCGCCTGTCTGACTCTTGCGCTAGAAATTCTCAAACATCCTCCCATGTTCCCGTGCTTCTGAATACTCTTCAAGGATTAGTGGATAATCTGTCGAGACTGATTTTTTCCACTGAGAGCACGTACCAACTCTTCCGGGGGTGTGGTGTCGTGTTAGAGCACCAATATACAGGAGGGCGGCAGAAAAAATAGTCATTTGATCTGCGGTTATGCATGTGTCGCATGCTACGCAGAATAGTCCTTAAGTGTCACCTATAGGTGAATAAAAGCCTTACAGCCGCTTTTCACTGCCGCTCCCGGCAACCCACCGTCTTGCAGAATAAGTCACGTCAATCACTGCCCGTCAGATCCGTCGGCTTCGACAGTGCTTTACGTTCACAGTGGCTCCGTGGCTGAAGGTGCCTTCTTGCTTGCTACATGATTTCCTCGAATCGATTATGTGAATACTTCTAATGAACGCTAGCTGCGACTGTGCAACCGCTTTGGCACTGGCGTTTTGCTTGACGTCATTAACTGTTTATCTGTACCTCGAAGACCTCGTCTGAGCTTTTTTTGAGCGAACCAAATAGAACACACAGGATTAAATCACTGGGTGGGAACCAGTCGTCCTGTGAACCATGTTCCCGGGGAGAAAATTATGTCTAAAATGGTTTGTGTTTTTGGGTTGGTTTTTTTTTTTTTTATTTTTTTTTTTTTTTTTCGCTTTGCTGTGAAGACCTGTCATGTCACTTTTTTTGTATAGACTAGACGCCGCTCTTTAAGTGTAAACAGTTGGGTGGGTTACAGTTGGATTAGTTCTGCCAAGCGTCAATTAAATTGGCCGTTTTTGAATGTAGTATGTTCGGATAGTTGGTGTTCTTTTTTCTCTACCCCGGCCCACCCACCCCGGGTAAGTAAACGTTGGTTGAAGGCGGAAAGACCATTAGCAACAACAATAAAGCCTTCTTTTTTCCGTTATTCACGAGAACGCCACTGAGTCTGTTTAGGTGTGATTCTGTTGTGATCGAATAACCAAACTGGCCCTCTAATTGATGATCTGTACTTTGTCTCTAGCATAGTTCTGATCTCGGGAAACTAGGGGGAACCCACACCTCTCCAAAGTGTTTTTTTGTTTGTCCCAGAGGAAGTTTACAGCGCGGTGGAGCCATTTCTATGCAATTGGAATCAATATCATCAATGATAGATGTTTGATGGCCTCCCACTAAAGCACATTCCAATAGTTGTTTGTTTTTCAGACTTACTACACAGCCGTACACCTTGTGTGGTGAGCCGCGGCTGCAGGCTCTTGGCGATGAAGGTCCAGACAGCTATCGAATACGGCAAAACCACTGAACCCGACTCATGACAACATGCTTCAGAAGTTTCTTCATGCGCGCAAAGGCTGATTAACGTTGCTGAAGCTGTCAAACACGCTGCCTTGAGGCGTCCCCTCCTGCCGCCTCCCGTAACCCTTCAATCGTCTCTGGGGTGCATACACGAGGACTAAACCACTTATTGTTAGCGGCATGTTAATCCGTAATCCCATCAAGCTGAGAGGAGAATTCTTCTGCAAACCTCTGGATATGAGCCCCAACCACCTCCTTTTTTAAATGAAGTGTACCAATGCACTTCAGCTCTTCCAGTATTAAAATGCATAAGACAGAGATCGCAGTTCTGATTCTGGACTTTGAGGGCTATGCTTAGCCGCTTTCGTTCACAGCTCATCATTAGATCTAGGAGACCCTAAGCACAGAAATTTCCACAAAAGATTGCTTTCCCCCGGCACACATCCAGTCAGCGGCATAATCGCAATGGGATATTGGCTCATGGCGTATCTTCACGGTAATCTGTGATCCCTAAATTCATGAAGCTAGCTTCTTGATTTCAGGGTCGACATCAACCAGAGATATGAAGAGCTGTTCGACGAAGAGAGTTACGATCGTATACGACAATGGGAGAAGCTTAGGCATGGTATTGTACCAACACAGCAAAAGGTCAGTAAGTAATATTTAACATTCTAGGTGGAAATCACTACTTTTGGTAACTCAGACATATTTTCTTATTTGTGATTGCTCATTTCATTGTTTTCCTTTTACTCTTCCAGCTTTTAATTCCTTAAACCCTGTGATTGTAGAGATTTTCGTGAATCCAACACCGCTCTCTCTTAGGCTTGTCTCCATAGGAGCTGGCCCTCAATTGTTCTACAAAATCTGAACTGATTAAGAAATAAAATCTAACTTTTCCTCTTTTCCATGTTTTCTCTTGTTCTTTTCGCTATTGTTTTTGCTGACTATTTCCTAGTTCCGTAGCCGTTGCATTTGAATACCTATGTAGTTATTTATTTATTTCTATGTCAATTCCAACCGAACTGGTTACCAAGAAATCTTTCTGAATCATTCGTTCAAATCGTTCTGTTACCCTATAAGCATCCTGAGCAATTTTCGTCATTATTCAGATGGCAGTCAAGAAATTCTTATTCGAGGAGGAGCTTGAAGCGTATCGCAAGTTGAGGAACCAAAGCAAGGCTTCCAAATTGCTCGAAGCGGTTTTCCAAGGTGAACTACGCGTCGGATAATATTATGCCTTAGTGATTTTTCAAAAAAAAAATTCAAAATTTTTGTAATAATCCTTGTTACAATTTAGGAATCACTCTACGACATTACATCTTTCCTAGCCTTGGTGAGAAAGTGTTCTTCGAATTCTTACTGCAGAACAGCTACTCAGAACCGGTGAATTGCGTTGTGGAAATGGACGAGCCCGGCTTGAGGTCAGTCAGACTCCATACGTGTTGTTCAGATTCTCTCGCCCTACTGCTTAATATCCCTGTGCAGTGCTTCCACTCCTTTCGGTATTCTTACAGATTTGGTGAAATAAGACTTTTACATGCACGGGTTTGGGCCTTAGGCTCCCTCATATTCTTGAAGGCCTTCAGTTAACGAAAGGGGTACAAAAATTTCAGCATAGTAACCGATATGGATGAATGGAGTTTCTATAAACGTGCAAACTCGCTCGGCACACCAATTGAGAAGAATCTGGTACTGCAAAATGGTGGACGATCGGAAATCTTTCTGAAACCGATGGAAGCCGTCTATGTGCCATTCCTCTATGATGACCTAAAGGCAACAAAACAACCCGATGGCCAAGTTATTTCAAATAAAGTAAGTTCGCATGTAATTAGTGCATATTAGAGCTGACTGAATGTTGTACTACTATCTATTGTATGAGCTTGAGCACTTGTCCTTTGAGGTTCTATTTCGTCCGATGGGATAACAGGTCAGCGATTTCAATACTGGATTTACGCGTTGAACATCGTCCGTATGCTCTGAATGAGACCTATCGATTCTTCAATGAAGCCGCTTCCAATTGCGAACGGTTGATCAAAATTCAAGGAATCCAGAGTGCGTATTACTATTTCTCGTTTCGCTCATAGTCCTTTTCACTCATCAGTGTATACGAAATTTTTTAATACCATGGGGAGATGACCATGTGTTCCACTTGAAGGAGGATCCCATCACAAGGAGAATCAAAAAGAGGAACTATCTTATGAAAGAAGGGCCAGGCTCATCATCGGAGTGCCGAACCACATGCAACTTCGCAAAAGGAGGGATTATGTACGCGGCGACCCTCTCATAACCCTCGCGCCGGCGCTATTGCATGGAAGCGCCTCACCGACTGGCTACCACTCGCCGAGGTTGTTTCTAGCGGCCGTTTAGCAGAGGAGCGTTAAGCGTTGGAAAGAGTAGCATCAATGCAGCACCGCTCAGTGCGGAAATCAGCGGGAAGGAAGGGTCCGGCATTCTTCAGGTTCTGTTCCATTTTTTAGTGTTTTATTCTTACCGGCATCACGCAGATGTGGGAAAAATGGTAAGAACATTCTAGCCATTACACGGTTACGAGTATACATGGAGTAATCAGAGTCGGATCCCACTGTCCTTGTCCGATTCGCAACGACTTTGAAATAGCTTTCAGCCTGAGCCAGTTAATCCTCTGAAAATGCTGGCGATTCCAATGTTTAATCCATTTTTCTTGATTGTTGCAAAATTCTCACTCTTTTTGACAAATTCAGAAATCATGCAAAGAAAGGAACATTTTCTTGCCCTTGTCAATTTTCTCAAGACTTTATAGATGATCGTCGCATTGGCAGCGTACGCTGTATGGACCCGAGCACAAAGGTGTTCCTACAGAATCGAGGTGTTGAACAAGAACTAGCTATTACGGTATGTTATTCACTAATGTTGTGCTCTCATTCAATGCAAATATAAATGTACACTGCAATAAGGAGGTCATGTAGTGGAAAAGCAAAGTGGCGGCAGTTCAGCAGAGTAGGTCCGACGGATTAAGTCGGCTGGGTCGTGCGTCGTGCCGGGACCGAAACAAGTTTGCTATCCCATGGTCGGGGTAGTCTAATCACCAGGCTTGCTAGAAAAAAAAACCTCATCTTGTATATCAGCTGGCCACCGCAAGGCATTGTATGGGACCAATCGCATTCAAAGCTACTACGTTTCTAGATGGAAGTATAATGTATAGCGCATCCCAAAAAGAGATTGATCAACTCCGCAAGCCTCCATATCTTTTCTTTTCGTGAATTCTACACTTCACAAATAGTTAACTTTTTTCAGGCATTTGCCGGAGAACCACTTTACGATTCGAACTCTCTAGTGCTCGCTTTATGGCGATTCGCTCCGGCCCCGGTAGCGAAGAAGACCTGAGCATTTGTCTTGTTTCTTTATTCATCTTCTGAGCCAGCCAACGTCAGTTGTTTCTCACTTCTAAATTTGGCTACGACTGATTGACGACTTTATTCTCCTGGAGGCAGCTATGGCAGAAAATTATAAGGGCATCCTTCTGCTCCACAGTGCTCGTGTACTCTTGAAGTTCCTCGCCCGCCTAGACTTTGTCCCGTTTTTTACGAGAAGGGACATTTTCTACGTGGTTTCGAATACATTGAGACCAAACTGCCTCCGTATCTTGCAATAGCGCCGGCGGCTTCATATATAGGAAGTACTCGACTTATTTTGCAGCCAGTTTCACCATGAAAGCATTCATGCCGGAAATGTCCCAACCTTCCGTAAAGAGTTTCAGCGCACGTTCTAATTATTGCTGAAGTATTTGTTTTTCTTCTGCTTTCCTAGCGTTCTTATGCTTCGTTTGTTCCTGAGTAGTCCATCCCTATGATAATCGGAGGAGTGGTCGGGAACTTGGATGTTAGTTCCAACTTGCACTGGGTGAGGACTAGGTCGACCATCACGGTCGCACTTTTTCGAAATTTCTGCGACCCCTCGCCAGGGGGTGGTCCTGGTACGACCCCTCCACTGTTCTGTTTAGACGCTTTTATACAGAACTACAGAACCGTCAGGATAACTAACAGTGATTATCGCCGCGATTTCGGCTGCGAGTGTGCGGAATCGCGGTGCACACAATCTATGATCAAAATGTGGACCTCCGTTCGAGCTAGTGCGAACGTATGGTTGACCCTGGTAGAGACACCTTCAGATGGTTGTGTATAAACGAAAACGATAAAGTACGAAAAGTTCTTTTGTGCCTCCACTGTATGTTCGTTATTTTACAGATTACTGTCAACATGGCGCATATTGATCCACTCCTTGCAACGTATCGATCTGCACAGTACCATGGGACAATCGATAAAAATTCCGATCACTCTCAAGAGGTATGAGAATACGTTATCCATTGATAAAAGGACAATAAGACGCACATCGGGAAATTTACGAGCTGCGACCCACAGGTGTGTGACGCGAGCGGTCGCGAAGCGGTTGTTTGCAACTGACTTCTGTTGCAGATTTGAACAAGTAAAGCGGCAATCAATCTTCATTCCGCCCGTATAAGTATTTGTTAGTAGAATGGCAGCATTTCTATAGCAGTATGAAATGAGAAAGATACACGACGACATTACAGTAAGGGGGTAAATATAAAAGCGGCGATAGAAGCATTATCGCTAGGGTAGGCGATCCAACAATTATGGCTGTTTTTTCCGAAACTATTGACAACTTACAAAACGTATGCCATAATTGTTGGTAATCAATGAATCAATCAATAAATGATTCTGTGCACCAACAGAATAGGTCGATCGTTAGTCGACTACTTAGTGTTTCAGTGGTTAAGTGGACCAGCTAGCGAAATAGGATCGTGCTTTTCTATCAAAAGTTGTTGGTAGATAGAGATCCTTTGTGCTGGAGTACAGCTCTCGCCAGTCCTTGAAACGTCTATCCCAATACGTAGGAGTTAGCCAGTAGGTGTCAAGCGTACGGTATGGTATAAGGCCTGAAATTTAGAGTACAGAAAAAGTAGTAGGCAATGCAATGATATTAAAATAGTTTTTTAAGTTCTGTTTTGGTTTTCACGAAATTGCTCTTTGGCTCTTAGCTGTGGGAGACATTTTGATAGACTATTTTCTCCTATTGATCGAATTTTGTCGATACTGGGTTTGGAACCTTCTTTTTTCAAATTTTACTGCTCCTATTATCAAGATGCCGGAAATGCTATCCCAGTTTGTCCTGGAACTCCAAAAATTTCATATTTTGCTGCAAAACTCAACAATTTAGCTTTTCCCTGGTGTTACGGAATGCGCCAACGCCTTTTTTCGAAGTGTGAAAAAGTTTTCAAGTAATCTGGCTTGTGTCTATATTAAGAAAAATATTTCGTTCTACTACAATGTCGTTTTTCTACGCTCTACTTTCAATTCCAATCGAAATGCTACTTGAGCGCGCTCGCGTTGAAATAATATTTGACCCTCTTTTTCAGTGAGTGCCGCAGTGGCCGTCACTTTCCTTCCATCGTTTTAAAGGCAAAGTTCGGGCTCAGACCCACCTAAGAAGCCCTTACCATGGCTAGAAGTGCTGGGCACGCAAGTGCAAAGTTAGCGCCACCTTTCTACATCGAGGACCCTAGGCGCCATGACTTCTAACAGACTCCACCAAACATTAACATGGTCCGCCCCCGATCGATGTCTTGTCTGCGTCGCTGCGTTGATCTGCTATGCTCTCTCTTCTCGGAATTCTCTACCACCCTCTGCGCTCACATTACAGCGAAACTTAGCTCATGTGGGAGTACTTTGGGGGGGGGGAGGGGCAATTGGAGTGACTGACGATACGTACAAAACTTAGAAGTAACAAGTAGCGTCGTACTGTTTGACGATACTGGAATGTATGCAATACGCGAGGTAGGGATTCCAGGTTACAGAAGGGAGCAAACTTCGCTTTCCCTAGTTTCTCCTTTACTCGCTGGACATAAGTCCGTTAAGTTTCATCTACCAGCGCCTTTTTCGATAGTCCTAGTTCTTGAATGTTCGCCCCGCTAGTTCATTCAGTCCCGAAAACCTGAATGTCGTCCGTTTCTGGCATAGAAGTGTTGCTGGGGAAAGTTTTACATTCCCTATTTTCACTAGGGGTTCTGTCGCCTGTACCATGCGGGTCTTACTGGCACGTCGCTCTATCTAGTTAATTAATTTTGTCTCTTTCCTTATGGCAGTATCTCTCAAACGTTCTCTCTCCGTAAAATAGGACCTCTTAATTCCCCCACTAACCTTCGACACGAGACGAATGAGCGGCCAACTAAAGGGTCGTGTGCACTCGTGTGAACCACACACACAATGCAGCGCAAGCCATGCTTTGAGCCCGCATCCCACAGAAACGTTAAAGAATCCGCCCGGGGTGGAATATCTTTCAAAAATAATCGAGCGATGCTTCTGCTGGAGACACCCTGGTGGGCGGAGCAAAGCGGAGGCGGAGCTCAGAAAGGATTGGCAAGCCTGTGCGCTGCAACTAGCGCACCTTTGGCCACAAAAGCGCAACATTTCGCTTTCCTTTGGGCCCCTGACTACTGCTTCCAATGGTGCATGTCCTTCTATGCTGCACACTTACTTTATCGTAATCCCTTGCTTTAATCCAGTCCATCAAAAAGGTCTCCAGACCAAGTGTTTCAGTGATTTCCCTAACTTTTTTCTCTGGCATATCTTTTCGTCCCTGCGAGCGGAATTGCGACACCAAAAGTGGAAAATGCTTTCACAAAAAGTCAAGTAGCATCGCGGTTGGAATTGACTGCCTAAATGCTGTACTAATTGGAAAACTGTGATTCACACACCTTTTCTTGTTTACTTAGTGTACAGGTAGAGCGGAGAAAACGGATTAGTAGTACCATAGATATCGACCTAAACAAATTAAAAATTATCGTGTAGCTTTTGCGATGATCACCGTCGACAACTTAGTGAACTCAACGCAAAGGCAGGCACGGTAATTGGCTGAGTGTGAATTCTGATCAAAATCTGATTATCCTTTTCTCTTCAATATCAGTGAATTCCTCCTTAAATCATATTTCCCACACAACAGAGAAAATTTGTAATTTTGGCCAAGTTTTTGTCAGAAAGTTCAACTAAGCCTACGATACCTGCCTTATACATGCTCAACCCACGCCCAAGAGATGTCGAGAGCGAGTCCAGCAAGTAGGATCTGAAATAAGTATGCTTTATCTCACATTAAAGAGCTAGTTTTGAGGAACAGCTTTTAGTGGGTGCTATTAGAAGACTATGAAACTCCACGTTACGGCATATCCGACTACAACTGGTCTACAGTAACCCCTCCAGCGCGGAATTTGTCCGAGCCGTTTCAACTGCGATTGCAAACTCTGCAGTTAGCAAAGTTGCTCGTTCAATGAATTGCGAATTGTGGATTGTAGAGACACGGCGTTGCGAAACAGCCGTGCCCCATGAAAGCAGCAAAGATTTTCATGGGGAAATTTGAGTGCAAAAACGTGTGGGTACCCGATTCTGGGCCGTTTATCATTGAATGCTGCGAATATCTTTGAATTACCAGCAGTACAAGCGAGACGCCGCGCATCAGTACGCGTCTGTGCCCGCAATTTGCAAGACTGGCTTGAACTGTGAATGGTGAGGAAAAGTCACTAATGAAAAACGAAGACATGCTCCTGACAGGCTGAGAACGAGGTGTCTTGCGAAGAAGATAACAAGAAGATTCGTTGCATGCACACGGATGGAGATGTGCTATTGATTAACTGCTTCAAAACTATTATGAGTGACACACGTACGAGTGGCGTATCGTCGAGCGATACCTGTAGGGAGTGTAGGTGTCGTAGAGATATCTGTAGTAGGCGGAGTTCCAATAGCGACGATAGTAGTACGGGTAATCGTAGTCATACCTTAAATATTCAGAAATTCTTGAGTAGAACTTCTTACTGGAACAAAGCGGCATAGCTCAAAGGTAAGCGAGCTCTCCACTTGGAAGTTCCAGCGTCTCATCTGTTCAAAATTTCTGCGACCTATTGATGCCAATTTTGAAGGCAACCGTCACAGTGCAGTTGATCATATTGGAAATAAGGTTCCAAGCCGTGCGTACGGCAGTGGAAAACCCCAAAGAAGTTACCAAAACTCTAGGAATGATGCCCTCTTTCTGCTCATCGCCTTTGGGGGAGGTGAGCGCTTCCAATACTGTTATTGTGAGAAACCAATCCGAGAAAGGAGCTAATTAAAGGTATCGAGTCAGCACGCTGCAGGGACAAGCGTCCGTCTGGACAGATTCCAAAGTAGTGGGTTGTGTTGTTAGGTTGACGGTGGAGTTGATCTTTTGGAAGAAGTTGGTGTTCTTGATTGGACAAGGTCGACCATCTTTCTGAGAAGTGCGAATGGGAGTCGTATTTCTGGAAGATAAAAGGGTCGGAACAGTGGGGTATATAGTGAGGA